GGGTCTGGCCGACTCTCTTCAGAAGACCGTGGACGTCGCTCACAGGCCGGGTCCGCGTCCAAAGCAGGAAGATCAACGCCCCCCGCGCCGCATCCTAGTCCGGTTCTCGCTCCGGGCTCACCGTGATCAGGTCTGGGCGGATGCTAAAACTTCTCAGGTCCTCAAGCAGAAAAGCATCAAGATATCGGAGGACCTAACCCAGCAGGTGAGGGATGCAAGAGCGAAACTGTGGCCGATGGTGGACGAGGCGAGACGGCAAAACAAGAGAGCAGGCTTCAGCGGTCCATTTGCCATCATTGCTGGTAAGAAGTTCTCTGCTGAGGACTTGCCATAAAGGATTCCCCCTAAACAGATATTCTCATCTTTGGATGAACAGTGTTTAAAGTTGGTGTTTGTCAACCAAGCAATAAGCTTCGGATGTTCTATTCCTCTGGCTTTATCTTCTAAGTAGACAACATTAAAGAAACAACTAATGTGTTTTGTTTGGCACCTGTTTATACTGATTGGTTCCAAGTCTTGAGTTTTGAGAGATAATAATAATAATAATAATAAAAAGTAATTAGAAAAATAAAAAAAAATTTAAAAGGGAGAGAGGGAGAAATGTATGCTATTTAAATATAGTTATATACCTACTATGGGTTTTTGAATTTGTAGTATGATCCTGCTTTGTGGGGTCTGTTCCAGTTTTGATCACTCAGTGTTAGGTTTTGGCTTGTGAGTTCAAGTTTTGCACATTTCTCAACTTTTCGCATAACTTAATACAACTACTGTTCAAGTAGTTTTGTTCTTCTGTGTTCTATATGTCTGATTTTCGTTTGTCGTGTTTTTCTCTAAATGTACGGGGTGTTCGAGATTTAACCAAAAGAAAAGCTTTATTTTTATTTTGTATGCAGCAAAATAAGGATGTCTATTTTTTACAGGAGACTCGTTCCTCTTCAAAAGATGTTACATTTTGGCGTAATCAATGGGGGGGGGGGGGGTATTTTTTTCTCATGGTACTAATTTTTCAGGGGGTGTTTTAATTTTATTTAATCCTAAATTTAATGGTGAACTCATATACACCGAGGTTTCAGAAGACGGCAGATGGATTCTGTTGGTCATTAGATGTGGAGATAATTTTTTTATTTTAGTAAATGTTTATGGCTTTAATTCTATGGTTTCTAACATCACGCTCCTCAACTCTTTATCTGATAAAATCCTCATGGAATTGAACAAATTTCCTTCAGCATTTGTGGTTGTTGGCGGTGATTTTAACGAAGCTCCAAATTTATTTTCAGCTAGATTTCCTGCAAAAGGTAGTCCAGATCATTTTAACCCTGTTATTTATGATTTCTGTGGTAAACTTTCCTTACTAGATGCCCTGAGAATTTTACACCCTTTGGAAAATAACCTCTTTACTTGGTTTAAAACCGACCTATCTCAAAAATCGCGTATAGATTTGTGGCTAATCTCTGATAATTTAGCTCCCTGGGTTCGAAGTTGTAATATTGCTATTGCTCCCTTAACTGATCATGCTGGGATAGATATATCTATATCAAGTTTAAGATCCACTAATTGTAGCAAACCTGGATATTGGAAATTAAACTCTTCCTTGCTACAAAAAGATGATTACTGCTTGGGCATTAAAAAAATTGCTACTAAATTCAATTCAATGTCTGAAATTACACCTACCCTAAAATGGGGGCTTTTCAAACTTGAATGTCAGTGCTTCTCAATGCGCTTTGGAAAGCAACAAATAAGAGATCAGAATAAAGCTTATACTAATTATTTAAAAGAGTTTAATGAAATTTTAAGTATACCTGTTCTCAGTAAGGAAGATAAAGTGCTTTTGCACTCATTAAGGGGAAAATTAGACCTTTATATCCAGAAAAAGGCGAGGGGAGCTTTTATAAGGTCTCGGGCTAGATGGTTGGAACACGGAGAAAAAAAACTCATCCTTCTTTTTTAATCTGGAGAAAAAATGTGGAGAGGCAAGAAAAATATCTACTTTATTTATTAATGACAATCTCTCAAAAGATGAATATGAAATTTCTTCCTTTATCTCTAACTTTTATCAGAAGCTATACTCATCCTTGTTTGTGCCTCAAGCCTCTCAGGATTTTTTTGATTGTGTCTCCCCATTCATTCCTAAAATCTCCCCGGAGAATTGTGAGCTTTGTGAAAGTCCAGTTACGCTTGATGAACTGAAGAAGACTATTACAAAAATGCCATCTAACAAATGGTAAATGGTCTGTATTTGATATAGCGCCTTCTAGAGTCCTGGAACCCCCCAAGGTGCTTTACAACACAATCAGTCATTCACCCATTCACACACTGGTGGTGATGAGCTACGATGTAGCCACAGCTGCCCTGGGGCACACTGACAGAGGCGAGGCTGCCGAGCACTGGCGCCACCGGTCCCTCCGACCACCACCAGCAGGCAACGTGGGTTAACAGCGACAGCGACAGACTGAGTGGGGCTCGAACCTGCAACCAGGTCCAGGCCCTGATGGGTTGCCTTATGAATTTTACCAAACCTTTTGGGATGACTTAAAATATATGTTGTTAGAAGCCTTCATGGATTGTGCCAAAACTATGGAACTGACTGTCTCTATGAAGCAAGCTGTAATATCCTTAATTCCCAAACCTGATAAAGATCTTCATTATTTGGATAATTGGCGTCCTATAACGTTACTAAATTCAGACTATAAAATACTTGCATCACTATACGCAAATAGACTAAAATTTTGCTCGGAAGAAATTATCTCTGTAACGCAGTCAGGCTTTATGAAAGGTCGACACATCTCTAACAATATCAGGCTTGTTCTAGATATTTTAGATTATGGACGTTTGTTTGATGAAAAGTCATTGATTTTGTTTTTGGACTTCTACAAAGCTTTTGATATGGTGGAGCACTCATTTATTTTTGAGGCTTTACATTATTTTGGGTTCAAAGAAAACTTCAGGAACATAATAATCACTCTTTACACTAATATTAACAGCTGTGTGTCCCTGGCACATGGTACCTCTCCTCGCTTTGATGTGACGCGTGGAATAAGACAAGGGTGTCCTATTTCCCCTTTCTTATTCTTGATAGCTGCTGAACTTCTTAATCTTTACATTGTTAACTGTGTGAATGTAAAAGGTATTAAAATAGGTCAAGATGCTCTAACCATCAGTCAGCTGGCCGGTGATACCTGCCTCTTTCTTCAAAATGATCTTCAAGTCCCTGTTATTGTTAAAGCTTTAAACAGGTTCTCGGATGCTTCTGGTCTCACGGTTAATAAGAGAAAATGTGAAATATTAGCCATACATGATTTAGACACCGTATCAATAGATGGCATAGAGGTAAAAAAAAGAAGTTAAATATTTGGGTATCACATTAAGCAAATCCTCTAGTGAAAGAATTTCAAAAAACTTCAACCCAAAAATCAAAAAGTCTAAATCTGTCTTTAACTGCTGGCTACAGAGGGATCTTACCATTGTAGGTTGTGTTTTACTCTCCAAGGCTGAAGGATTATCCAGGTTGGTATACCCAGCTTTATCTTTACATGTTGATGGCAAAACCTGTGCAGCTGTTGATTCACTCTTATTGAAGTGTATTTGGAAACATAAAAATGAATACGTAAAGAGGAAAACACTTACTAGACAGATTTCAGAGGGGGGTCTTAATGTATTGGATTTCCAAACTATCAACAATATATTCAAAATTAATTGGTTAAAACATTGTCTTTCACATAATAATGAACCATGGTTTTTTATTCCTGATTTTTTGTTTAACAAAGGTGGCGGCTTAAAGTTCTTGCTTTCATGCTACTTTACCTCCGGTAAACTGCCCGTTAAACTGGCCAACTTTCACCAACAAGCCCTGGACAACTGGAAAATGGCTTTCAAACACAACTTTTCCCCTCACACGTGTACTTTATGGAACAATCAACATATCGCTCACAAGAACAAGACTCTGTTTTACAAAGACTGGTATGATCACGGTGTTATGTTTGTGTTTGATCTTTTGAATGGTAACGGGGACCTAGCTACCTATGATGAATTCATCCAGCGAAAGGGGTTAAACACATCTCTCGCTATGCACTCTAGAACTCTCCAAAGTATTCCTGTTCATTTACGGTCTCTTGTCAGAGCTCCTGGTCAGTATACACCTTACACAGGAAGGATTCCTGCACTGTGTCTTGGTGGAAAGCTTCTTGAAGAGCGCTCATGTAACAATGCTCACATTAGAGCAGTTTTCACCTCTCTACTGTAGATAGTCCGGTTCCAAACTCATTACATCGTTGGAGGGTAATGTTTCCTGACATCAGCAGCAATGCCTTTTCTGAGGTTCAGAATTTTTTTGTCGCCAATAAAGTTAAAGAACTACACTTGAAAATCTTACATAGATATTATCCGTGTGATGAATTTATTAATAGATTTAGACCTGATGTGTCCCCTTTATGTTCCTTTTGCAAAACAGGTGTTGAGTCTCTTACTCATTTGTTTTATGGTTGTCCTTTAGTTGTACAGTTTTGGAATCAGTTGTCTTCATTAGTTTGGGATTCTCATAAAATATTGATTACTTTTAATGAAAGTATGGTCTTATTGTTAAACGTTAAATGTAACAAGGAAGTTAACGATGTAATAAAATTGCTGTGTCTGTTGGGTAAATTTCACATTCATAAAGTCAGATTTCTACAGACTATACCAAATGTAACTTTATTTTATATTGATCTTAATTTTTTTCACGAGACTGTACGTAGAATTAGTAAAAACAAGAAAGCTGTGAAAATATGCAACTTGATGAATTCTATTACGCCCCATGTGACATGGTAATGTATTAGTGGAATTTTGTTTTATTTTATGTTATTTTATTTGTGTATAATTATTTATGTTTTTTTTATTAACATTGTTTTCTTTTTCTTCTCTGTTTGTCAATGTATCACACCCTGTACATCGATGTTGTTTTGTCCATATGTTATGTCTTGTCTGCTGCAAATGTGTCAATAAAGATTGTTAAAAAAAAAAAAGACGTGGGCTGCGGCCAACAGTAACCCGGAATAAAGATCCGAAACGGAAACAACAAGTTGGAGTCATTAGCATCTCTTAGAAAAGGCAACAAAAGTGTGTTTTATAGGTGTGGTGGCTTTTGTTGAGCCGTGGCGGTGCGACACGAACTAGTTTAGCCCAGCAGAAAGGCCCCGCGGCTGTCTGGACCCAGCTCGACACAGCAGCAGAGCGGTAAGCTTCATATCACTCTAAAATGTCGGCTAACTTTACTGTACACGTTCATTTACGGGCATTAGCAGCGTGCTAGCATTAGCATCCCACCTGCTAACGCTAGCACAACATGCTAGTAAAGCTAGCACCCAGATTAATGTGGATTCGGACGATTTTCGTGGAATAAAACGTGATCTGGGAATTGTGATGAACGCCTTTTTACACCAGATGATAACCTTCCACTGACTGTAGCAGCAGAGCGCCTGTGTGTGTTACTCCGTGAGTGTGATGTGATGTTAGCATCCAGCAAATAAATCCCACATCAGCTAAAGAGCAGCGCGACTGAAGCCTGGTTTATGCTTCTCCGTCAGCTCCGCAAGGGACAGACACGCACGGATTGACGGAAGCGTTTTGCTCTTTTACTTCTCCGTCTCCTGGGGAGTGTTGCAAAGCAATTGCCTGACAGGACCACAGAGGGCGTAGCGCTGTTCTGTGGTATCCTGTCATGTATTGGTCCACGATCGTGTGTTTATATTGTGTTTTTTGTGTATACAACAGACTTTTAACACGGACGTATTTGTCTCTCATTCTCCCACCGCTTCATGCGCTCCCCACCTCTAAACCCACGTTTCCTGTCATTTCCATCCACAAATAAAACGCTTGCTGCGCATCTTTTCACTCCTCCAGTCACGGGAGAATTAAACGTTCATATTTTTAGAGTTTTTTTCGCGAGGTATTCTTCAAGCTTCTCCGTGTCTGCCGCTAGTTATCCTCGGCTCTCTTTGCAATGGCGGCGCTGTAAACAACAGCGGCATCCTGACCAATCACAAGCTTGCGTAATCCGTCTCGTTCGACGGATGTTTAAAAAAGTGGGCTCGACTCCGTACGTACTTGCGTGCCTGCCGGAGCCCTGCGCAAGGACGGATAATGGCGTTGCGTGTCTCCGCACTGACGCAGACGGAGAAGCATAAATCAGGCTTAAAGGTTAAAGTGCGTCAGCACAGCGGATTTAATACGAGTTTCAAAGCCACAGTGTGTAATATTTTAACCTGTTTACTATCAAATCCTGTGTTTCCTGTTCACAAACGTGTCCTTTTTCACTAATATTTCTCACCAACATCAATTCTAAATATTCCTCTCAACTTGAAATTATACATTTTAAAATAAACTGTGGTCGATGCTCCATGGCCATCCACCATCTTAAAATACAGTAGGTGTTTAGGGGCATACGAGCTCCATACCCGTTTGGACTATGGCTGTAGCCCGAAAGAACCAGCAGAGGGCAGCAGTGCGCCCTGGAAGCATGGAGTCTGCTAATTCAACTAAGAAGTAGAAAAGAATAGCTACACCGTTGCTGTACTTGTTAGTTTGTATAATAAACAATTAAATCAAACGACATAAAATTTGTCAGCTCATCATCATGTCCAACCAAGCCCCCACACTGCGGGTGAAAATTTGAAGCAAACGTGGAAATGAAATAAATTGCAGTTCCACCCTCATCCACTAGGGGCTGGTGTCAGAAGCGAGCAAATCCTCATTGACTCCCATGTTAAAAATACCAATTTCACAGCAGAAATAAACATGTTTACAGCCTGGTACCAGAACATGTTTTTGGTTTAAATGATCTAGTTTACACTCAAAAGCCTAAAATTCTGTATAATTAATGAGCATCAGACCCACGTGACCACAGAGCTAGCTCGGGTGGACCTTTAAAGCGCCCGAGCGCCAATGGCGCTAAATTTTCTCGTCGGGCGGTAAATACATGACGACTTACCGCCCGGGTGGCGCCCAAGCCTTATTTGTCATTTACACACCGGCTTTCACCTGCATCATGGCCCCGCCCTGTAGGAAGCCGCCGTTTTCGTTTCACGTGCGTGAACCTGCGCGCCTCTAGCCACGTACTGCACGATTCTAGTTATAGTCACGTGAACTATAAGTTCGCTATTAAAGACGAAGTGGAACCACGCTAGAAACACACAAGCACGCAGGGAGATGGCGCCACCACAGGGATGGGATTTCTTGATGAAATCTCCGGCAAAACGCTTTAAAACTGGTGAGGAGAAGCAAGACAGTTCGAAACGGTATGAAGCAGAGAAGCGTGTGCGTAGGTGGAATGATTCTTGGCGGTTTAAAGAAGACGGGAGGCGCAGAGAATGGCCGTGTTCGAGTTGAGCAGCGGCTCGCCTGGAAAACAGACGAGAGCAGACGGAAGCAGCAGCGGGAGTGGCTGAAAGCCGGCGTTTAATGGGCTCGACACACGGGAGGCGACATCGCCTCTCCTCCATTTTCAATGAGACATGCTCGACAAATTGCGGAAAGCCCAAAATAAAGATCCAGTATCCACATATATGACGTCATTTATGGACTCAGCTTTGCGGGCATTCTATGAGCAGAGAGGACGCAGCGGTGACGGCTCAAATACTCCAGCTGCGTCCTGCACGCGGCCGCTGTTATATTCACAAAATCGCTCCACCAGAACAAAATAATTCACTTGCGATCGTTCATATCAGCCCGTATTCTCAGTACTTTCTGTACTTTTCTGATGTGCTTTGCCTCAGCTGAGTTCATAATCTGTGCCCTCGCCCGGTGATTTCAACTCATTGCTGCTGGAGCGCAGCGCATATTAAGCTTTTTTTTGTGTGTTCAGTAGATCCCTTTGGCTGATTAGTTAGAAAGTAGGAAATCTAGGAAATAGTTTTTCTGGAAGACGGAGAGAACATGCAGCATGCAGGAAGGTTAGAGAGAGAAAGGGCCGGAAGTTATTCAAATAAAACCAAGAAAACAAAACAAAGTGCTTGAAAAGAAAAAGTAGGTAGATTTATCCCCAATACACATGTTTACCAGTGAAAAGCAATAATATATAAGCATTTAATATTTATACATGTGATAGAATCAGATCACCCCAGAAGTCAGTCCCACATCCAGGGCCGTATCAAGGCATTTGGGGACCAAGGCAAATATAGGCTTGGAGCCCCCACCACCTCACTCCATGCTCAGTTAATATAAGATGGCAGCGTGCTGAGAGTACAGATTGTTGTTGTTTTTATTTAATAAACAATCATTTTAAAGCACTGTTATTATATCTGACTGTTTTAACAGCAACCCTAGCTCAGACACCACATCACCTTCCACATATGTGTCATGAGCTCACTGAGCGTCACATGACCAGATTCATACTGAAGTTGTTTTGGTGAAAGTAACTTAAAGTAATGCAAAAGTGGTGTAATACCTTACATTTTAAAATCAGTAATATTGTAATGTAATGAATTACTTTAAAATGAGGGTAACAAGTAATAAATAATGCATTACAGTTTTGAAGTAACTTGCCCAACACTGGTGACGATGGCTGAAAATATCGCGTTAGCGTTCATACTTGTTTAATTATTTATTTTAATCCTGGTGCCTGTTAGCAGCTGAAACACATCCTCACGTGCTTGTGGATATCATATATTGTATATGGAGACATGACTGTAATAATAAGTAAAGGTTATCAGCTGTAGCTTCAGTGTGCTCATAGGAAACGTGACAAAAGAACACAAAACACATTTCTCTTTATGGCCTATATTGTTGTCATCATCAACATAACATGATTTACAGAATACATGTGACCAACTAACATTTCATGTTCTACCACCGGATGTTTGGATCAGAATATGAACCAATCAGATCTTAGATCAGGTGAGAGCCAGGCGTTTCCCGTCATCCTCTAGGTTTTGCAGCCGAGGGAGAGCAACTGCAGCGCCTTGCTCCAAAATCTGCGGCCGCCTTGATCTCACGAGGTTATCGTTGCCTACGTATGCATGACGTCAGAGCAAGTCGGCGTCAGTTCGGACGCAAATCTAACCGACATGCACTGCTCGCTGATCACTGCTGGTCTAATCTGCGCAGAACTGGCTCATCTGGAACACAGTCAATGGCTCGAGTACAGCAAAGCGGAGTTGGTGAGTTGGCCATCCTCTGCGCCTCGCGTCTTCTTTAAACCTCCAAGAATCATTCCACCTACGCACACGCTTCTCCGCTTCATACCGTGTCGAACTGTCTCGCTTCTCCTCACCAGTTTTAAAGCGTTTTGCCGGAGATTTCATCAAGAAATCCCATCCCTGTGGTGGCGCCATCTCCCTGCGTGCTTGTGTGTTTCTAGCGTGGTTCCACTTAGTCTTTAATAGTGAACTTATAGTTCACGTGACTATAACTAGAATCGTGCAGTACGTGGCTAGAGGCGCGCAGGTTCACACGCGCGAAACGAAAACGGCGGCTTCCTACAGGGCGGGGCCATGATGTAGGTGAAAGCCGGTGTGTAAATGACAAATAAGGCTTGGGCGCCACCCGGGCGGTAAGTCGTCAAGTATTTACCGCCCGATGAGAAAATTTAGCGCCATTGGCACTCGGGCGCTTTGAAGGTCCACCCCTGTAGGGTTATCACTGGTTCTGGTTCTTGTCTTTCTGGGTTTCTGGTTCTTTGGTTTGGGTGTTCTTTTCTTTCTGTTGTTGTTTGTTGTTTTCCTTTGTTTATTGCCCATGTCGGGTATCCGCAGGTCTTTAAAGCGTGTTGTATGTGTTTGTCCTCTTGTTGCTAGTGGATAAACGGAGAAGGAAGTGACGCCACCATCTGCGTCAGCCTGACGAAGTTTGCAGCCGTAAATGAAACGTTGCAGGTAAATAAAACCTCTCTGTGTTTTAAAAAGAACTAATAGATGGCACCCTCATCATCATTAACTCATTCACTGCCAATTTACATTTTTTACTGTGTGGACGTCAGAACGAGCCCCCGCACCGTGAGAACAAACATCTCAGCTCTAAAGTCGATCTTCATCCACATACGTCACACATCACGTGATCAGGAAGCAGAACATCCATGTGTTAGGTGATCGTTTTGGGCCGCTGCTCTAAAAAAAGTGAGGCACGAACCGGAAAAGCTTCTGCCGATCACAATTTAACAACGTATTACGAAAGAACGGATAACGCTCGAAACACGCGGATTCTTCCTGATGTAAGAGGTGAGTCTCTGCTTTGTTTTGGTTGTTTTGGCGTCGACATCATGCTAGCGCGCAACGTTCTGTCACTCTTAAAAAAACAGTAAAAACGATGAGAAACGCTGGCAGCGAAGGGCTTTAGCGATCATGAAACGGCTGGCAGTGAATGAGTTAATGGGTTACAAAGTTAAAGTAGTTTGGTAAGCTATCATCTTGTCTTTATTATTAGATGTCACATAGCTGATCACACTTCAGACAAGAAGCTAATGATGGTATATTAGAGCATCCTGGTGCAATAAGCTAAACCTTTATGAATGACACGATTAGTCCACTCTACTACAATAGTCGTCTGTGGCAGACCTAAAGATGTTGCAGCGAGAAGAGGCGGAGAAAAAAAATCAAATTACCAAAAATGAAATGGCCAGGGGTGCACGTAAAATATTTCCTACAATTCAAAAAATATTTTTCAATAATTATTGATGTACCTTTTTTCTATATCGTCCAGCCCTACTCCACAAGGTGTTAGATAAATCTGAATGTGTGTCTATACCAGAGGAACTGGACAGCTTTGTCCTGGTAGAAGCTGAGACTCTTGATAAAGTTTTCTCCTCAGTGAGACCCACCACATGTGTTCTGGACCCACCACATGTGTTCTGGACCCACCACATGTGTTCTGGACCCACCACATGTGTTCTGGACCCACCACATGTGTTCTGGACCCAATTCCAACTTCGTTCTTTAAACAATTTTATGGATCTTTTAGTGATGAGATTTTAACCCTGATGAATTGCTCCCTTCAGACAGGAGTCTTTCCTGCTGCCTTTAAAAGGGCGGTGGTGAGGCCCCTGTTGAAGAAGAGCAATTTAGATTTTAATGAATTAAACAATTATCGACCGGTATCCAACTTACCATTTTTACCATTTTTAAGCAAAATTTTAGAAAAGTTGGTTTTAAATCAACTAAATGATTTTATAAACACTATTAATGTCCTAGAGAAATTTCAGTCTGGTTTTAGGGTGAACCACAGCACCGAGACAGCCCTTCTGAAGATTTTAAATGATTTTAGAGTAAATTATGACAAACGGAAGTTGACTGTGTTGGTTCTACTGGATCTAAGTTCTGCCTTTGATACGGTAGACCACACTATTCTTTTAACTCGTTTACAACAGATCGGCCTCTCTGGTGCTGTACATAGATGGTTCACATCCTACCTCACAGACAGGACTTTCATGGTGAGTTTGGATACCTGTTCCTCTAGGGTCCATGGGATTACATGTGGTGTGCCCCAGGGTTCAATTTTAGGCCCAGTGCTTTTTAATCTTTATATGCTCCCTCTTGGTGGAGTCATCAGGAGACACAGGGTTAACTTTCACAGTTATGCTGATGATACACAGTTGTACATCTCCGTGTCTCCTGATGACTCTCGGTCAATGGATGCACTTTTTAACTGTATTTTAGACATTGAGTCCTGGATGGCAGAGAACTTTCTCCAGCTCAACCAGGACCAAACTGAAGTTTTAGTCATTGGTCCTGAGGCCCAGAGAGAGAAGCTTTTACCGAAATTACAATCTCTGTCTTTTAATCCATCTGAGCAAGTGAAGAACCTGGGTGTGATTTTTGACTCTGAGCTGACTTTTATCCCACACATTAAAAATATCACAAAAATAGGTTTTTATCATCTAAAGAACATCGCCAGAGTCCGCCCCATTCTCTCCCGGGCCAACACGGAGACGTTGATGCATGCTTTTATCACCAGTAGGATAGATTACTGCAATGCCCTGCTTTCTGGTCTTCCCAAAAAGAGCATCTCAGGCTTACAACTTCTACAAAACTCAGCAGCACGTGTCCTGATGAAGACCAGGAGGCGGGAGCACATGACACCAGTTTTAGAATCATTGCATTGGCTCCCCGTATGTTTCAGGATCCATTTTAAGGTTCTTCTAATGGTTTTTAAGTGTCTTAATGGTCTTGGGCCTTCTTATCTATCAGAACTGCTTTTACAATATGAACCCTCGCGGACTCTGCGCTCCTCTGGCAGGCGTCTCCTGGTCATCCCTAAAGTCAGGACACATACTCACGGCGAGGCGTCCTTCCAGTGTTATGGCCCTCGCCTCTGGAACGAGCTGCCGGACGACCTCAGGGCCGCAGAGAACGTTCATGTGTTTAAGTCAAGACTCAAGACCCATCTTTTTAGGTTAGCTTTTATCTAAATATTTACTACAGTTTTATTTCTCGTTTTACATGATTATATTTTATTACCTGCTTTGTTGTATATGATTATATTTTAGCACAGTTTTATTATTTAAATTATTATTTTACTGTCTATATGATTTTATTTATTACTTATTTTCTAATTGTTGTCATTTATATTAGCTCTTTTATTACATTTTTACTCATTTTAATCCAGTGTTTCCTCTGTGGGGGCCCTCTGCCCCGGGAGCGGTGGTCGACTGTAGCTTCCTGGGTGCTCTATAGGTGGGGGTCTATGCTCCCCCTCCACTGAGCGCCCTGACTTAGTGTGGAAGACCTGATGCTGCCGGGACAGACGGCTCCTCTGATGGCGTTTCCTTGCGTTACCATACTTGGCTCATCTGGACTCAGCCTAATATAATTTTTACTCGTGTGTGTGTGTGTGTGTGCGTGCGTGCGTGTGCGTGTGATTGCATATGTTTGTTAATGTTTTTAACCTGTTATGGGAATCTGGGGTCATTTTGTAAAGCACTTTGAATAACACTTTGTTTGAAAAGCGCTTTAGAAATAAAATTTGATTGATTGATTGATTGACAAGTAACCCTGGAGTATGAAGACGATTTGTCATGTACGTTTACAAAATGAAATCTGTCAGACAGGTAGGATTTAAACCAGCCTAGCGCTATTCCTTTGATCCCTACAACAAAAAAGTTGATTTGGAGGTGACTTGCTCTTTAAGTCAAGGTTTGATTACAGCAACCTTAAAATCCTGTGGTACTTATCCATTTAGTAGGAATAGATTGAGCTCCATTGGCTACCGCTAGCTGCACACATCAAATTCAAATTGCTAACACTAGCATACAAAGTCCTGGATGGTACGGCTCCCTTCTACCTGAATCCTCTTGTAAAGGCTTACGTTACGGCCTGGCCGTTCCAGTCATTGAAGAATCATCTGCTAGCAGTGCCTACACCACGCTCAGGACAATCCAGACTATTTTCATGTGTCGTTCCACAGATGTGGAAGAACCTACCAAGCACTACTAGAACAGGGGCTTCCTTGTCGATTTTCAATTAACTCCTGAAGACCCAGCTCTTCAGAGAGCATCTTCTAGACTAGCACCCTCCTTGCACCCGTCTCCCACTCCCCTGCTCACTCCATGTTTGCTTCCCTTTATGATTCATTAGGCTGCCCCACTGCCACCTAGGATTGACTGAATAGTGTTTGTTGGGCGTGCTTATCACCTGTAAGTTGCTTTGGACAAAAGTGTCTACTACATACATAAACATAAAAATAAAATGGCAGTAACCAAAGGAAATGCATCTTTAAATAATTTGGTTGGGATTGAGTCTAAAATACAAGTTGAAGTTTTAGATTAAGTTAATATTTTTTGATAACTCTTAAAGCTCAACTGAATCAAAATAGTCCAAACACAAATGAGGTTCTACAGTTACCTCTGATGCTGCCTGATGTCCTGATCAGCATTTCAGGTTCCCGATCCTGATCTGATCTTTCAACTTTGAATCTGATCTGATTTAGAGTCCTGATCCGATAGTTTTTCTTTGCTATTGAAATTATAAATATAGAGCCTGGGTTCTCCCTATGGCACATACTCACTCTTGCTGCCCTACACTACAGCTTCCAGGTCATCATGACGGTGCTGGTTCTTAGTCTGTTTCCACCAGAGGCATGAAGTACAAGTCTATGCCTCTGGTAGGCTGGGGGTTTCCCTCATTACCAGGGCTTCACAAGTTCCTTCCTCTTACACCAGTGTCAAGCTGGCAGGTAACGACTCCGGCGTTGAGTCACACCTAAAGTGGTTGTGTTTGGTCTGCTACAGGGTATCCGCGGGTCCTTAAAAGATCCAAGATGGTTGCCGAGTAGGTGTGGTGAGATTGCTGAGCTCTACTAATATTTGAATATCAGCAAAATAAGATAACATCCACCTTTTCTAAGCTTGCTTTTTTGTGGCTTAAGTAATTAGAAACCTTTGGCTTAAACCATTTTTGAGCTAGATGAAGTATTGAACATTTTTTCGACACATAAAGTGTTGGACTTTTTTTTTGGCCCATGTTTTAACCAGCTGGGAATCTGACAACACCATAGAGTTATTAACCATCCAAGGAAACTGTTTGGAACAAAGATGTCTATGGAGAATCTGGTCCAAGAGATGGAGGAGATAAAAAAGTCCTTGAATTTCATGTCACATGAGATAACTAAAGTGGCAAAACAGCAGAGCGGCCTACAGGAGGTATTGAAAGAAGTCAAGCAACTTAAGGCTTTAATACAAGAAAAGGACAAAAAAATTGAACTGCTTGAACGGAGGGTTGACGAGATGGAGCAACATTCAAGGTTGGATGATCTCTTGATATCAGGACTGGAAATACACCGTACCTATGCACAGGCCGCAGCCTGTGACAGGGGAAAATACATTGAAATCACTGCTACTCATTCTCCAGGTTCTCCTTCACTTGAGGATCAGGTGATCAAATTT